CTATTGAGAATTAGACGTGGAAAAAACCACGAACCGTTTCATAAGACTGACCTAAGAAAAATATCATAGCTTTTAAACCGCTAACAATATGGATAGTTCGAGTGGTTATCGCGTTCGGGCTGCAATGCAAGTTTAGAACCTTACCAGATCTCACCAATAAATGTTTCATCGACAACTTTCCGAACGCTTCCGTAGGCGAATTTCGTGTGATGAGGTTCGTAAACCAAACCCCTCCTTATAAGCAGGCACCAGGCAACCGTGGTAAACTCAATCTAGGTGACCACCGTCCATAATATCATTGTAAACGGTATACTCGCGGCGATCCATGGGTAACCGTGAATTTTTCGTTAGTCTTTGTTATCGGTCTTATATACTATTATAATACGACGACGGTCTTTAGAGACAGACAAGTCGTAGGGGTACGATGCACTCCAGTTACCTTTATTTTGTACAAGAACAAGTTCCTTGTAGGAATAAAAATTTCTACAAGATATATCGCCTATATACGACGCTATACTAATTCACAACATGTGTTTTTTAAGTCTATAATATGTGTAGGTATATTTTATAATTTAAATAAAATATATTATTATGATCCCAACTTTGTTAACGTTTGAAAATTGTTGTTATAATAATAATAATACAATCAGCAGTTTAACGAAGTGAAGGGGGTGGGGGTGGAACGAAATTTAAATGAAACTCTATACAGACACCTAACCTAACCTAACCTTACCTAACGAGTGAAATTTTTCGAGCGTAGGCTTGCCGACGGTTACGATAGAGAAGAGAAAGAATTTAAAAAAAAAAATTGAAATACCCGCAAACGATAATATTATTATTATAATATAATATTATGTGTTTCGAATACTTGTCGTTATTTATTGCGATCGCGCGGCCAGCCGAGACACGACGGCGGCTTACGCTGGCGAGTCGAGCGATTGCAACGGCGGCGACGTTCGCTTCCGCCGCCGCGAGCGCGTGTGGTGGGGAGCGCGACTTGTCGGCGGTGGTGCAGCGCGTCTCCGGCACTCCGTCGCTATCGCTCTCACTCTCTCTCTCACTCGCTCTCACAGTTAATCACTCATTCGGTCTCTCACTTCTCAGTCGTATAATAACGGTGTCTCGCCGGAACCGACCCGGTAACGGAACACACACGCAACACGCGTCTCGCCGTGTGTTGTACAGTACGCGCGGCGTTCCTTCCGAAACAAACAACTGCTCCGCGCTATCGGCGGTCTTCGTCACGTGTCTCGTTTCCGCCACGGTCGTGTTGTTCCTTATCCGCGGGCGCGTGTGTGATAATCGCGCTGAGTTCGTGTGCGGTTGCCAGTCATAGCCGCGTGTGTTTGTCTGGAAATCGAGATTTTCTATTTTTGCTCCCGTCGGATTTTATTCGCGAAAACCGTCATATAGTGCCGCCGACCTGAGAAAACCCGAACGCCGTTCGTGTGTTATTGTGTTACTTTTAGATTGCTCTACGAACACATTTCGTCGATCGGAAAAGGATATTTTATACTATACGACGGCGAGAGAACGCTGCAGAACACGCGCGTACCATTATTGCTTCTAAACGACCTGTATTACAATATATATTATAACATACACGCACGAGACGATGGGACGGCTGATTTCCAGGTATTTTTGTATTTTCCGGCGATCAATTGACGTCAGTATGTCTTATTATGCCTGTGAGGTTGACTTTAAGTTGTACTTTGTCTGATTAATTCGAAAAATGTGCTAGTATTTTGTAAATACATATTGCAAAGTGGCTACAAAAATTTGCAAATCAATTTTATTTTTTGCCGAATTTAATAAGTTTTTTTGGCCAGAAATAGCTTTCTGCGTATAATTTTATACTAATCCTTATATTATAATAAATATTTAAAAATTCTAAAACCAACCTTGTAATAATTATTTTCAATGTAAATATTTTCATTGTAAATATTCACTCAAATTTTGAAACGATCGAACAAAATCAGGGAGCTGCTTGAAGTAAGTTATTGCCCAAAATGGTGGTTTTGCTTATAATATTTAAATAACTTATTTGCAAATTCTATTAGGCAATTTGAAATTGATTTGCAAATAAATAAATATTAAAATAGTTTCGAATCAATTAGACAAAGTCAGGGGAGGTAGGTACTTCATAGATATATATTGGTTATTTATTTAACCATTGATTATCTATAAAATAGTAACTGGGTACCTACTATTAATAATAATTAATAATATTATAAGTAATAATATTTATAAGTAATCAATGATTTTACGAGTACACGGCATATGCGTTATAACTTTCCAGTGTTTTTCAAACCATTGGGGCGGAGATCTTTATTCAATATATAATAATAATAAGTATATTTAGGAAAAACGGTTGATTACGAATCTGCCAAAAATCTTAAAAATGTAATTTAAAAAGATTAAAATTAAAAATTAAACTATATATTATTTTTAAAAATGGTTTTGAGACTCAATTGATAGTATAAGATGGTTCCCTCTTCATTCTTGTCGGAGATGTGGCTATATCTAGTTTTTGCTCATATTATATACTTGAAAATAACTTTATATTATAATGTTATAGGCAAAGTGCATAAACATTTGCCATTCGAAACACCCGATGTGCATTAAAAATAAGCTACCTATCTATATTATTATCATAAAGGTTTATTTTCAAACATTGAAATAAAACCAGAAATTAGTTTTTAATAATAAACGATCTCATTTACGAATCATGACATTAAGTTAAGTAAAATAAAAAATCGTTTTAAATGTTGAATTAGACGAGTCCTTCAAATCAGTCAGAGTGATAGCCATAGACGCGACATATTATTATTTATTAATTATTATATTTGATATATTATTTAATATAATTTTGTTAAATAGACAGTACCTATTTCATTAATTAAATGAAAATACGAGTGACTAAATCTTCTACACTTAATAGAAACTTACTCGTGTATACTGTATTTACTCGGGGAGGTACCTTATATATAAATTAATAATTATAAATTATAATAGTCCTTATTATAATGATCGATACTATATATTACGCGCATAATATGATACTTGTGAATAATATAATAATCATTATTGTGTTATTAGTATTATAGAAACACAATTGGTGGAATTTTCTTAAAACATTCCTTACTGCTCAAGTGTTGTATAATATCACGGCTATTATTCTTGAATTAAAAATAATTTCTTATAATTTTTTTATTATAAATATTATATAAATACACCTAAAATACGAGCCGATATAATATTGAACTTCTTTCAAACACTATATACAATGTCTCGATTGGATACACTCCACGACAAATTATGTAGACTATATTTCTATATATTCGATATAATCTACATTTGATTTCGAGTCAATATATATTTTGATTGTGACAGATACATTAATATCGTAGTTGTCGTCCGGATTAAATTATTCCATTCCTCATTGTACATTCGTACCATAGTAATATATATATATATATTTGTTTTTGAAATAAAGACATAAAGTATAAATATATATATACATACTGTAGGTAGGTAGTTATATGCAACGTATTTAACTAACTATAATTTTATTATACGTGTCGTAAAGTTGATTACGCGAACTCGACGAATGCCACTTTATTTCCCATCACCTAATTACTAATTAGTGTGTTTCACACTTGTTTTTATTTTCTATTTACCCGAAACAATTTTTAATTCCACCGATTTGATCCTAATCATATTATTAACCAATTATAATTATTATGAATAGCGATTAGCGTTCAACGGTAAATTCGAAATTCGAAATTTGTAAAGTTAGGCGGTCGCTCTACGAAATTGTACGTCGGGAACGGCAACCACCTTATATCTACATGAACATAAAAAATATTTTGATCACCAAAGTTCTGTAGTTAAATACGCTGAGTGCATAAATTAAAATAAAATAATAATAAACACGTTGGTACATTCCACGTATTCTTAAATAAGCACATTTCTTTTTTTTTAATGAATTTTAAATAAAAAATATTTTATCTCAACCATTATTAAACTATTATAATATGATTGATAATTAAACAAAGAAAAAGAAAAGAGCATATAAAACTTAAAGCTCGTATATTTTAAATTTTGAAACCAATATGGATAATGGAGGACAGTTTTTGTTATAATTACATGAGAGAAATCATGATTATATGCATATATAAAAATTGAAAGAGGAAAAAACGTATTTTAAATTTAGTTTAATTTAAATTAGTTTAGTCTCTCCGCTCTCTTCAATTATTTAGTAGAATTGATTAAAGTCATCTGTGGCCCACCACAGCTGCAGGGGAAAGTCAAGAATACTGTACTGACTGTGATTGAGCCCCAGGTTGAATGCACTATTGGATAGAAGATTATGGCCAGTATACGTCATATACGTAACTGACTGGTATATTGTGCAATAATCTTTCTCGCCTAATCTTTTAGGACTGACTGAAAATACGGATGAAGGGGTTTGGGATAAAAAATATCGTTTTTAAAAACAGGGGCTTTCGATATATCTCATTCGAACTTCCCATATATGTATTCATCACATGTAAAAATATAAAACGTTTTAGATAGTATAACTTACCTACGGTGATAATAATAGGTTAATGACACCCATATTATTATATTTCTTAGTAATTTAAATTACATATAACAAAAAAAATGATCGCAGATGCGTATAAATCGTATCTATTTTATAAATTATAAAAGTATCCTTACTACAAAAATCTATCGAACAAGAATATTGTACAAAGTATACAATACTTATATTAATAATTAAAATGCAAGGTATAGGTTACCTTTTATCCTTTGCATCGACTGTACCACACACCGCTCCGATTATTACATAATTTAATTTCGTCGTTTGTTTCCCACAGATGAGGTCTCGATCGTCGGTGTAACACGCAGCGGACTGCAGAGAGCGAGGCTGAGACGCGTCGTCGTGCCCTGTTCCATCCAAACACAGCCGCACAGCCGAACAGCCACTCGCCGCAGCGATGGGAAACTCGAACAGTCACGGCAGCAGCACATCGTACGCGACCGGCGGCGACACGCAGTCGATACCACCGCACTCGTGGGCGTACTCGTTCCCGCGGTCACAGTACTTCAGGCAGCCGACCACCGGGCCCAAAGTACTGCCGGCGCACGTGCCTGGCCAACAACGGCCGCGACTCAGGGCCACCGAAAACGGGTCCATGCTGCACGCGGCAGGCACCATAAACGGTAAACGGCCGTACGAGTATTCGCACCGGGACGACGTGAGTAAAATATATTTTGCAATACACCTGTTATCTTAGCTATATGATTAAAGCACGGATTTGTATGCTCTAAAAAGTATCACAATCGGCCGTATAATATGCAGTAAAAATCATAAAAATATGTAAACGACATTTTTAAATGTATACTAAATTAAAATCATTTACTAATAACTTAATTAGATACTCAATGCAAAACAAATCATTTTTTAATAAATTTGCTTAACTATATTACATACAAGAAAGTTCACTTCCTGTTAAAAACGATAAAAAAGTAATAAGGAAAACAATAAACAGTTGCACAAAAATCCATCTTCCAATTTCCATAGACTTTTATATGATTGTACGATTGTATACCTACAATTCGTTATTGACCTTAAAACTTATTTACGTCTTATTTCAGAATATTTACTGATATATCTTTATATGGAATCGGTTAGATTTACAGTGTAATGTCCTAGAGACTTCTATTGATACTTAACCATTAAATGTGTCTTAGAGATTTTCTAGCTATTACTTAAAAATTAAGGCAAGTCACTTAATGGTATTTATTGTTTTAAAATTACAATTAATATACGTGTTTCATTGGATATAAATTACTCGAGTTGATACCTTTGGTTATGGTAAATATATTATCCTATGGTTTTTACGGGATTATTGAAAAATATCCTAGCTTTTCCATTTATATTTACACCCTCCGCCTTTTTACAGAAACAGCATTTAGTAACAAGTAACAACACATACAAATAATCGTATATCAATTATTAGAATAATGTTATATTATTTTTTTTTTAGTAACAGTAAAATAAAATTAATGTCATGCTGAAGAAATAATAATATCGATCAGTCTTTCACTTATAATAATTCCATAAATAACTCTAACCATGAACCCGTTATTTAAAAACAAAAACTGTATAAAATAAAAGAAAATCCTTGAAATATCGCATTTAAAGAAATATATTATACAAAACTACATTGCAATAAAAAAAAAAAAATGGTTTATTATGATAACTAAAAATAGTTGTGATACTTTCCACACTCCACCTTAACAAACACGTACCACGTTTGCCTATCTAAAACTCCCTGTTACAAATAACTGATATAAAATTAAAAATAATATTATTTAACGTTACTTGTATTTTTATAAATACTTTATTCTACAAAAATATGATTGGTTATTTTTTAAAACTATTCATTGAACTACAAAAAATATGTTTTAAACTTACACAACAATGGAATTTTAAATTGTTGATAAACAATACAACCATTATTATACTTATTAAATATTTACTATCGATAACTGCAACAATGGTAATCTATAATACAGCAAACAATTTAACTATAATTTGAGATATTCTTCACTATGTCTTTAATAAAAATTAATAAAATAAAAATTCAAATTATTAAAAAAAATATAAAGATAATTTGGTTGGAAACAAAATACATATTATTAGAATACTTATATAAAATAATACAAATAATATTTAAATAAAATAAAAACTTTTTTCAATGTATTATTAGATACATAATACTTATAATATAACTATAGCTGGCCTGGTGAAGCTCGGTGGTTGGCCTCACTCCATAACGTGTTCTGAGGTCAAGCATCGGCCGACGACCTTAATTCCCGGATGGGTGACCACCTGGATGTTTAGTGACAAATCGTCACCCTACATACACGTGTTCTTCAACAAACCAACCCTCTAAAAATATATTAATGGCTATAGTTTCCAAAGCTCAAGATCCAGAAAAAAATAAATATATACAGGGCGATTCACCAAGCATCCAAGCATGCTCACCCCAATTTTTCCCCTTAATAATGAATTTATTCAAATTCAGATTTTTGGAATTGTTAAACATACTTACTCAAAGACCATACTTACAAATTCTTGAATTTTTGTATAATACTTAAGGAGTGTCCTGTGGCAATAAGAAGTTCTATTTTTCCAATGAGACCCCCCCCCCCCATTTTTACTGTAAATTATTTAATGCTTTTTTTTTGAAAATGTTGATGTACCTAGGTACCTAATTCAAAATTTGAAGAAGTAGTTTCTTAGTTATTACAATGTTTGTACTAAGGATAATAATCCTTAAAAATGGTTTTATAAAAATATAAAATAGATTATATTAATGCTGATCGACTAATATTATTGACTAAAACTATAAAATCACTATAGCCCCCATTTCTTATAATTTATAAACCCATTACCATGGACCTTTTATTCTTAGAACATAAAGTTAAATAACTCAAAATCTAAACTTAAGAATTTTGATTCTGATACGTCAACATTTTTAGAAAAATTATCCACTCTATAATTTACAATTTAAAATGAAAGGATGTTCTCATTTAAAAACTGATATTTTTTTCCCCACAGGACACTTCTTAAGTAGTATAAAAAATCTTAAGAATCAAAAAAGATGGTATTAAAGTATATTTGAAAATTCCAAAAATAATCAGAGTTTGGATAATTGCATTATTAAAGAAAAAAGGGAGTTGGCATGCTTGATGAATCACCCTGTATATAAAGATATTATACTATAACAATGCGAGCTGCGTGTCCACGCATATAGTTTCATGTGAACATTTTTTGGTTTAAATATTTATATTTGATTTTCTTTGAGTATGACATAAATATTGCTATATTTTCTTAATAAAGGTCAATAAAGTTTAATGATCTTAAAAATGTTGTTTTAGATACAACATGGATATGGATACGAGATTCAAAGACACGTGCCTAGGGATGGAAGACGAGATCGTATGGGGTACAATATGTATACTAGCGAACCAGACTTAAGGTTTTCAGACTCCCGCCAACTGCCACCGATGGGTTACCAACATCATCACAATCACGGAGACAATGGCGCTGTCAAGGGTAGGATGTCCCGCTCTAAAAAGAAGTACAGAGCTCCTCAAGTGCCTCCGTCTTCGTCACATCATAATGGAGTGAGTGCAGATAGCATTTTTGATTTTAATAAATATAGCACGTATTATTACCAATTATTATGATTATTTAGTTATGTTAAACTTAACGTATTTGTATTTTTTTTTCAAATTTAACAACATCACTAAAATATTACACGAAATATGTATGAATTGAATATAGATTATGGGTATAAGTGAGTAGAGGATTTAGGCGTTTATATATATTATAATATAATGATGATCCAAGGCCCAAATGAGATTTCCTACACTACTTAAATTACTTGATGTCTTGAATTCTTGATTTACCTACTTCTTAAGTTTTTAAATTAAATTGGTATCTTTACAAAAGTTGTGTATTTTACGTTTCGTAGATGGACAGCTCTTCGCCTGACTCGTATCAACATTGGGAAAACCACAGGGATAATAGTAGATCTAGTCAAAACAATGGTATGCCAAGATTGAGATTATTTAAGACTAGAGCTGAGACAAAACATAAGCTCAGTAGAGACGAATTAAAAAACGCAGAGTTTCAGCCTGAAGTTAAACCACAACCTAGCAATCTACATCGGAGCATGTCTTCCCCTCAATTTCAAGTGAGTTAACTTTTATTGTATTTTTAACGAACAGTTTAGTTTTTAAAAGATTCAATTCTACTGCAGTCCACATCGTATTTTCTTTATTATATAATTATTTGAGAACAATTCTGCTGTATACCTATAATATAAAAACTATATAGTTATGCAACTATATGTAAAGTACCTACTAAAATTAAAATAATAAATATAAAAATATTCACAAAGTACCGTCCATGGAGTATCAAATTCCAACGATACTAATATCATTAATTTATAAAGTGTCGAATTTGGCCCTCGCATTGTTAATAAAAAAAGGTTAAATTATATTTGCTTGTGCACTTTCTAGAGTTTAAAAAAACAAAGTATTTTTTATTTAAAAGTGTGCGTTTCGTAGTTTATAATGTACATAGTAATATAAAATATTGTTGATTATAATTGCGCCTGGGTGTGGAAGAATTAGCCGGTGTTTGGGGACACCATTACTAGGGGACACTTTGTAGAGGTTTCCTCCTTGTCCCCCTTTATTGATTATAAAATAAATCCTTAAGTATATACCTAGATATATATTATATATATGTAGGTACCTACTACCTATGTGGCTATGTATATTAAAATGAAAACCATTATTAAACTTTACAATGTTTTTTTTTTTTTAATGATGGATGCGTGTAATTGGCACCAAAAGTGAACCAAAGTGAAAAAATACTGATTGAAATTGTTGGGTGGTACTTATAGTATCTATTACATTTAAATTTGTACCAAAATTTAAATCGATACCACGTAACAAGTAAGGTTAGGTTAGGCCAAACTACACTAAACAACTCACTATACTTACCTATACTAAGTAGTAACAAGTGAATAATACTTTACCGATGATTGACCGCAAAAACAGAGTTATTATAATATCGTATCAAACTATCAAATTAATACATTATTTAGTATTGGACATACCTTTGCCTTTTGTATAGTTGTATTAAATAATATTATAGTAAAGCCCATTTGTGGATATAGGAAGTTTGGAATTGAAGTTTATGGGCTGTGGTAGCAGTATGTAATTATCAATCAATAAAATAAAATCAATTTTAATTTTGTTGCAAATTACAATATTCCATATACAGAGCGTGGTGTAAGTTACATATTATCATCGTTACATACTTTAAATAGGTGAAAATTTAAATACACGTAGTTTTCGATTACGTGTGATGTTGAAAATTGCAAACTCCTTCCAACACTCACATTTATAATATGTTATATTCACTCTTCACTATAATATATTCTCGAGTACCTGACCGAGATTTTTGTATTATAATCTAATTTAAATCGGCAATACTTAATGTCATGTTTAAGACATGCCAAATTATTTTATTCAGTTATGATGCAAAAGAATTATCAACATTTTTAATTACGTTTTCCAAAAATAATAACACAATTAAATGCTTAGGTATTGCATAATATAATATTATGGAGTATAAATATTGTGTACCTATATGGCTATATATTATAATTCAATCTAACTATTGGGAACGAATTTCAGTTTAGCAGCTCCCAAGCGATTTTTTGGAATTTTTTTTTTTTCAAAATGTGTGTTTTCGCATGCCCTAATTTGATGGTACTTTCAAAAAAAGCCCGTCGAATTTATTTTGGAAGTTATGGTCAAAAAACTTCAAAATGCTCAATTTTTTCAATTATCGTGTTTTTTAATTTTAATTTTTAGAATTTTTTTTTTCTTAAATGTTTGTATTTATATGCTCAACATTTTGGTGGAATAAGAATTTGCCTATCGTACTTACTTTTTACGTTATTGTAAATAAACCACATAAAACTGAATTATAAAGTTATTTCAAATATTTGCATATTTGAGAAACTCAAAATTGATTTTTTTTGACGTTTTTTAATATTCGATGAGTAATAACATAAATACGTTTTTGGTGAAATCAGAACTAACTTATATTTTTTGGTTTTGATGGAAGAAATTGATTTACACGTTGAGCTCCGCTAGTGTTTTCGGCGCAGAGCCCGCGTCGCCACGCCAAAATTACGTACGGACCACAAAGGTGACCCGGGCTTCGTTACCAATGTCGGATACCCGTTGACATGGCATTGAACGTGTTAAAAATGATGCAATAAAAAATCAAAATGTACAGATTTAGATAATGTGTATCATTTTATATCATTTCTTTCGTCCTCAGAAACGTCGATCCCATATTCCCATCGTTGTTGTATTTATTTGGATAGTATAAATTACAGGCTAGATGAAAAAATTCAATAACAGGATCGATATTCACCAGGCCAAAAGTAATAAAAAAAAAATAACCCGATGGGGGGGGGGGTGCATGGGTAAATTAATAGAACGATTACAATTTCAAACTATTACCTGTACTTTACCTGTACATTTTGAATTTTTGTTGCTTGTTATTTTAATCTATATCTTCCAAACCAAAAAATATCACCAAAAACTTATTTATGTTATTTTTTTTTTTTTTTTTTTATTTATTTGAAGAAATCTACAATCTATACATGCTTTTTGTACAATAAGTAGGTTTGATATATGAAAGGTAAAATATGATATGCGAGTAGTTAGATTAGGGAAGATACCCAGTGGTAACACCCTATATTTATGTTATTACTCATCGAATGAAACAAAAATTAAAAAAAATTTATTCTAAGTTTCTCAAATATGCACATGTTTATAATAACTTTATAATTCATTTTTATGTGGTTTATTAACAATAACATAAAAATTAAGTACGATAGGCAAATTCTGATACCACCAAATTGTTGAGCATAAAAATACAAACATTTAAAAAAAAAAAAATCTAAAATCTTAAATGTCTTGTATTTCAAATTCAAAAACACACATTTTGAAAAAAAAAATTCCAAATAATCGCTTGGGAGCTAAACTGCATTTATGCCCAGGTCCAATATAATTGATTCATTACTCAACCAAAAATAAATAAATAAATACGCAACTAACTTGTACGCACTATAATGGTACTAAGGTTTTTCGCTATTATACAACAACACCAAAATCGTCAAATTTTTTTAGCACCATTAAACCTTCGCCACCCCTAAACAATAAATGTTAGCCTCCTGCATATATTTGACCCCTCCGCATATACTTTACTCTTAACAACGAGCCACTGTTCTGTATAACAATGCGCAGCTGCAGATTTTCGGGACGTCCTTTGTCGCGCGGACCAGTTAGTATTTACGCAATAGAGCAGCTAGCTAGATCGGGTGTAGGAATAATAGGAAACCCGCCGGCACGCGTCAAATTGACCATACCGGTCCAGGCGCTCGAAATAATGATCTTTGGGATCGTCACCCTAGTGGAATTTTCACGCAACAAAAAAAAAAATCGAATTTTTAAAGAAAATATTTTATATGTCTATAAAATTACTAAAACAAGATTAAATTGATTTCCAACACTGACCATTATTATATAATACGCTGCGATATCGTTTATACAAATTGCAACTATTATTTTTTTTTTATGAATCATTTTCTCCGAAAATCTATCGAAAAAATGAACGTATTTATTCAACGGTTACCCGAAGATTTTTAATAATAACTTTAAATACTAGCTTTACCTATTTAATTTTTGCAGGCTGAATTGAAACGCGTGACAGAAAGGCTGAGAGAAAAAGAATTCCGTCATCCGCCCGTTGGCCGCGCTTCGGAGAGCTCGTCCAATCCGGCTTCCGAGGAACGGGCAGCGGTTGTGGTCGCTGACATTGACAAACATCGCGAGAGCCCGGTGAACTCGAACAGACAACGATTAATGGCCGACCGGGCCAAACGGATGTCCAGGTCGATACCGAATCTCGCTACAAAAGTACAAGAAGACGATGACGTCCGATGCACGGGCGAGGGTTCGTCAGCCACGGGTTCCAATGACGAGAACAAGATCCATGATAAGAGAGCTAAGCCGAAAACAAGGTATGCCCTATTAAATAAGACAATCGATTATTTCAATGTTATACCTACGTGTATTTAATATATTTTACGTTGTTTAGCGTGCCAGATATTAAACCGAAAACATTCTATTTCGGTATGAACGAGTTCAATGATACGACAAAGACCAGTAGAACCTCTGAAGACGTCGATCGATTCGCTGAGAGCTTTAATAAAACGAACGGTTCGCCTTCTGATAGCATTGCTAGCAGTGACCCAACAGATGAGGTATATACCAATAAAGTCGGTTTTATTTCAGTAATTATTATTTACACGAGAAATATAATTTTAATTTTCTCAAATGTATAGTATAATATTTATGTTAATATTTATAACTGTTTATTTGTACATTATGAAAAACAATTAAATGTTTCCCTTTATATATTTAATTACAATTTTAGATAGGTTAGGAACAATATTTATTTCATTATGATAAAAACCTAAACTTCCTATATTAAAACTTAAAAGTATAATATTATTTTATTTATCTATAAATATTTTAGAGCGGTGGTGACATATCTCTTCAACTAAGACCTACACTTCCAAGAAAACAGTTTGACATCCCTAGATTTAGTCCAACAGCTGCTTGGCGCTTGCTTACTGCTTTAGAAAGTCCTTCACCAGTTAGTCCTAATTGCAGCGGTGGAGAGGAAGATTTAATACCAATTATAGATCAACCTCATAATTCCGGTGATAAATCTGGAGATAGCGGTATTTCTGGAGATGCTAGTCCTAATTCAGCCCATAATTCACAGGTAATACATAAATTTACATGTTTAAAAATGCCAATTTAATATACTATAATAACTTTTAGGTTGCTTGGACTCCACAGCAAGACTTAGAAGAAACAAGTTCAGATGGAGGATTGGAGGATTCGGCACCAGTTTCACCTCAAAGTTTGGATACCACACAGTTTTCAAGAACTCGTACAGTCGCTAAGCCAAGTTTCTGTCTATCCCTACCCAGAGAGGAAAGTACAGGGATTGATAAGAGATATGGACAATTAGTGAGTTTGCTTATAAACTAATAGTAATCTTTTATGTTTATTAAAACAATATAATTTATTGTGTTCTATAAAGAATGAAGATTTTTCACCAATGAACCCACCCAAATCTAGTGGTTACTTCAAATCTAAATTAAATAGAGGAAAAGCATCGACAGATAGAAGCAAATCACAGTTGGATGAAAACTGGGTATTGAGTAGAAGTGTACCAGATTCATTGCATCAATCAGGTTTAGTTGGCAATTTTCCATCACAAAACTGGAGTCAGTTGGAATGTCAAAATGGAGATGAACCTTCTGATGAAGAATTAGCTATGTCATCTTTACCAAAGTTTTCATATTTAGCTGCAGGCAGACGAGCTATGTATTTGCCAGAATATAAATCATTGAACTATTTATATCAAAAGTATATTTAAACATCCAAATAACTGTCATTAGAACTCTTTTATAAATATTAATCCAATTCATAGGGATATAAAAAATGTGCCTGAAAATAAAGCTATTGTATCAAAGTCATGTGAGGACCTCACAAGAGACGACCTGGATGATGAAGAGTTACCAGTCATAAATGAAAGAACAAAACAACAAAAATCATCAAATAAAAAGTTTGCATTTCAAAGTACAATAAGGCAAATTGAACGAAAGAAAATAGCTGAAAAATTATCAAAGGAAGCAGAGTACAAAGGTAATATATTTGCACTTTCATATAATTAAAAGTTGATATTTTATTTGAAAACATTGATTACAGAACGCCAGAGACTCAGTGAAATGGAAGCTATGCGTCGAGTGGAAGAAGAGTTTCAACGAAAACGAGAAAGAGAAAAAGCAGATATTCGACAACAGTTGAGACTGTACACGTTAACACAAGGTGATAGAGAACCAGCACAACCTCTCCCTTCTGGTACTCAAGTACTCTCTGAATTTCGGGAGTCAAGGCGCGACTACAAAGATTTTAACTCTTCCAGGTAAAAATAATTTGATTATGAAAATATTTATTTACGAATTATTACATTTAACTAAGCTAACCACTTTTTAGAGTTGAACATGAACCCAATAATCGTTCAGAAACTCCAGTAAAAAAATCAACAACTGTGCATCCAAAAGTTGTATACCAAATGCCCAAAAGTACTCCGGTGTATGTGACACCAAATACTGTACGTAAGCAATGCAATGGAACTGAAAAAGGATCATCAACACCTACATCTGGTAACTACAGAAGAGACTTTGCTCAAGGGGCCCTACCACATTCTGTGGCAAGTTCGGACTCAGAAGTGTCTGTGTCGATTACTCGACCAACTTCACGTACAAAGCACAGAAGCAGGTAGATAATCATCAACTTATACCATAAACCATAATTACTAGATGACTAAAATTAACAATTATATTACATAATATATTACCTACTTAATAAAAATACATATAACTTTCCTACTACTTACTACTTAGTGAATTTGAAACGCATGACATTTAATTCAAATATATATTTTAATACTTAATATAAACACATTAAACAATTAACAAAAATGAGTATTGATACAAAAATAGTGAACATATTCATTTTTATGACAACATTAAGTTTTGAACATATTTTAACAAATTAAACCTACTGTAAACTGTGCATATTAGGTATAATACTTATAACTAAAGACCGGATTTATGTGTTTTTACATATCATTACTGGGTCTATGCTGTCTTATGAGAGTAAAAAATGTGGACGATTCATTCAATTCTGAGTACCTACGTAGAAAAAAGTTTTTTTTGCATATATGAGAATATTTCATGGGTTAGAGAATATTTAACCCATTTAGCATATTTTGGAATATTTTATAAATTGTGTGATAACATTTGTATTTATTTTTAATTTTAATATTATGGTACCCAGAAGATGTTTATTGATTATCTAATATCTTTGCATATTTTTGCATATTTTGCATATTTTAGCATATTTTTAAAAATTATAAGAGAATATAATGAGAATATTTGAAGGTTTTTTAGAGAATATTAGCATCAATTTTAGGTATTTTTAGAGAATATAAATCCGGTCTTTGTACTTAAACTTAAAATTATTTAATTCATAATATTAGTTATAAAATTATTTTGTTTTGTTCTGTCTGTCATTTACAAAAGCAATAAAAAAAGGTAGATATATATTTTTTTTTTTGTTTCAATAAGTGACTTATTATACATTTTTGCCGAATTGGTAATATTAGAAAGACTATAAAAAGAATTAAAGTATAAAAGAAATGGAAATCTAATTTTAATCAAGAAAGGGTACCCATTAACGAAAAAAAATAATTGTGAAGGTGTCATTAGAATAAGTGTTGGATTAGACATAGATTTTTTAAAATAAGGAATAGTACCTAACAATAATTACAAACAAAATAATCATACCATAAAAATCAGTTGACGATTTTAAAAAACAAGTTCATAAATTATACTTGTCAAATTAAAAAAATGTATTTCAGCTATTTTCCTTTATTTTATAAAGCTTTTTACATACTTTATTAACTACTCTTGACAACAAAAAAAGAACCTAACAATTTCAACAAGTTATCACAGAGCATCAATAAACTTAACAATAAATATATTGTAAATGCAATACTAACTATTATGCTTTGGTTAACAATTCTAACACAGGTTTTAGCAAGTATATGGAGCTCGGGATTAAGTGTGTATTCTAGTCAACAAATATTCAAGTCACCATTTAGCCAATATAGGTTGGTAGTAAATGTTACTTGGTTTGTTTTAAATTGTAGGATAATTAAAATTTTTATTTTGCACCATTTAGATCAGCCAGTCCAATATCTGATCGGGAAAACAACGACATTGGAATAAATCTTGATTACATACATATCATAAAAAGCTTAAAGCAAAAACAAAATAACGAAATAGTAAATATCTAATGAAAAAATCTTTTTATACATAGGTATTAAATATAATAAGTCATTTTTATTTTTATCAGGAATTAAATGAAGTTACCAATGAAAAGATTCCGGCTAGTTCTATAGTCGGTGTAAATTCACTACAACCATTTATGAAAAATAAAAATTCAATGTACAAACCTATTGTTTTCAATCCGATAAACAAGAACAAATTTGCTCAACCATTGATGTAGATTTTTTATGTTATTATTATTTACCTAATTTTTAATGTATTGTTATTCTATTTAAATAAAATCATTTACTTGACTAATTTCACTAGAAATAATTAGCTAATTTTTATAAATATTAAAATAGTCATGATTAACTAACTTGGTTAATCTGTAATCATGTAAATAGTAATATTCAGCATTATATTTTGTAGGTCAGATAAATTATATAGTTTTAGACTTTTAGTAAATCCAAATATTTTGTTTTTCACTTTAAGTGTTATTTATATTAATTTCAAGTTAACATGTATGTTTCAATAATTGTTATCTTATTTTATTTAGTTAATAATGAAAATGTTCAACATGTATAAATGATTCATACGTGTTATTTTTGTTAAAATTATCACTTTTTAATTTTTATTAAATTTAAATGTTATAAAATTTAAATACTTACTCCATGTTGATTGCCATAATAAAATTGTTTAAATATATCTAATAATTTTATTTTATATTTATAAATATATTATATTATTAAATAATATAGACTGTAAGTACTTATACGACACTTGGCACTTACTTACATGAGATAATTTATGGAGATGTATATGAAAAATACTCAAATTATTGCTTATGAAACATAATGAGGTACCATTGGTACCAACTTTTAGAATACATTTAATACTGTAAGTATATGTAAGTATAAATTAAAAATATTATGTTGCAACATAATATTATTTATAGACAAGGGAATAATATACTCATATTTATTTAAAGTTTATGAAACAGCTTAGGTGTTTCATTCTCATCTCTAATTTGATACATGTTTTTATAAATTTGTATTAGTTATACATCAGCATTTATAAATCTCATATTTATAAAAATTAATAATAATTAAGGGCTATCTAAAATCTAATCATATGGGGAATTGTAAAGAGATTATAATTATGCATTTTAGATTCTGAGCGGAACGATGAATGTATTGATTTTACAATGGGTTTTTTTTAGAGCAGTAAAAATCGATTTTCTACTTCAACATTTTTGTCTGGTATAAAAATGAATCTAACGCCGGAAAATCAATTCTCAATAGTTTTCAAAAGCGTTTGAAAAAAAAATAAGGAAAAACGAATATTTGTATTCAATACCAGCTTTCGACGGCTTCCATTTTGATTTTTGGAGTAACTCTAAAATAAATAACCATAGCAGGTACATGCAATTTTCAAAAGCTGTTTGTATTAGTATTTTTTATACCTACACCATGAGGTTTTCAAAATATTTTAAATCGTTTTGAGCTATATATAGACGTAAGAAAATGTCGATACTATTATTATTAGTTTTTTTAAAAATCATTGTCGATAAAAAATGTTTGTTTGGTCAAAAGCCTTGAACATTTAATAGAGGTTCCTTATAGGTTATTGTCTATTGTTAGTGGAAATTAAAAATAAAATTGTGCGTTAATCCATAATATTTTTTTATGAGGGTCTGAAGTTCAACATTGGGTATTCACTCGATTTCTCATGTAGCGTTTTTCTTATTTTGTTGTAATTCATAAATGAATAACTGTAATTCTTAAAATGTACACAAAATATTTATTTTATAATTTTCAAAATATGTCCACTCTTTTTGTGCTATTTATAGAAAAATTTCAATTTTAATTTTTTTTAGTTTTTGTATTTAAAAATATACAAACATTTGTTTTATAGATATTTTAAGAAAATTACGAAATTAGATATTTAATCAAAGAATAACTGTTTTAGGTAGTTATTTTGTTGTAACAACCTAAAAATAATTTGTCCAATAAATAAAAATCAAATTATTATTGGAGTCAACACTCAACAGCTAACAGTCCCAATTCAAAAGTAATAATATTCCCAGATTGTATATATGTATACACTTATCAGCTATCTGTAAACACAATCGCTAGATTGACTAAAATTAACAACTTATTAAAATAGAAAATATATAGGTACCTCTATAGGTATGCATAAAAAAGTAGGTATATTTGAAAAAAATAAACATTAGTTATAAGCTTAAAACATTAAAATATTCATCAACATTGTTTGTTTAATGTATAGTATAGTAGACAGTAGTAATGTTGAACAAATTTTGACTGAACTTAATTATTCCTACGATGTTTTAAACATGCTACATTCGTGCGCAATATGTATAGGTATATTCGAATAGCAGTCCTAATTACGAGTATCTGTTATGTAATAATTATGATGACATAAGCCTTTTAACCTTTTCATTATCGTTGAGCTTATAAGTTTTGGGGACAGGTGGACATAAAAATCGTAATTTGAAACTACTATATTTCATAAAATATTAGCAAATTCTACTTCCACATTATGATTAAAGGGACGTAAATCACAAATGTACATTATAATAATATATTATTATTAGAAACATAAAATCTAAATATTGCCGTGTGATCATTCATAATTAATATAGGTACCCTAGGCAACTATGCAAGATAACATAATTTCAATGATGACTATTGACTGCCCAATGACAGTTAGTTGAAAGTTCAAAGGTACACTACAATTTGTATAGAAACTTCATCTTCTGCAGGGCACAATTTAACTAGGTACTGCAGAATACAGATTATGGTTATGTACGATCAGAAGATCTTATAAAATACACATATACAAACTGAAAAAGCAATAATGATTTTAAAAGTATAATATTGTGTTGATGTGTTTGCTTATCGGCACATTAATTTTACTTGCGATAAGTGTAAATTCAGACTGACATTTATTATTATTTATTATCTAGGTAGGTATGTGATATTAATATAGGTAGTGTAGCATAATAACTGGCGGATATTAATTGTTGTGTGTGTGTGGTGGGAAGGGGGAATGGACTGAACTTTTGAACCATTATTAGGATTAGGCAGGATACCTAACATTAATATAGGTAGGTATATAAATTTAAATAAATAAAATAATGTTTATGATAGCCTATATGTTTATTTCAAGGATGTGAAGAGGAACACTTAGAATAATGAAAATGTATTATACATGGAATGTCAATGTGTATATGTTAATGTGAATGTCCGCAATTGGTGAATGCTGACAGTCACCTGGTGAATGTCAACATACACCTAATGAATTGTTGAATGTTGAAAAATTTAAATAATACAGGCATTTACTAGTGGATGTTGACATTTAAGTTGGGATTTTGGTCAATGTTGACATAAGTACGTATTAGAAACAACATATTAATATGTTTAATTAAATCAAAAAAGTTATTATTATTATTAAACAATATTATACTATATTATATTTGTATAATTATTAGGTATTTAAATTATGATTGTTTTATAATATTACTTATTACAGCATGACAAACTATCATGACATTGTGTACTACATAAAATGCCAACATTCTACTTTTACACTTTTTTGTAGTACACATTGTTTTACAGTTACATCTTGTATAATCTTGCCCACCAATCAATGAATTTTATGTAGGAGCTTCCCTTAAAGAAATTTGTTGATCCCTTTATACATCAGTGATTGATATTAAATTTTCTTTACACACTGAAAACTGGTTTGTGGTGTATAATCGATTTATAACACCGTTTTTGGTAGCTAATTTATAAAAATCATTATCTACTATATCTAATACTATAGCTAAAATATTTTGGGGATCCATTTTACTACGATCAACATCTGGAGCTCGAATACGGACAGTTTCTCCAACATTAGCTGGCTGAAACTTTTGTTTTGAAGTTCGCAACATTTTTACAGCTTGTACTTGAAGATTGGTGATTGCTACTTCTCTATTCAAAATTATTTTTTCTTTTCTTCTAGAAATTGATTTATCTACAAATTAAGTGATTTGAATAAATTAAATTTCGTTTATTAATCTATCTATTAATAGTTAATACGTACTTGATATTTTTTTTTCGTGTTGTTCGTTTTATACTTGATACCTGTATTATTATTTTCATGTTTGTCATCATTATTCGACTCTTGATTTTCTAGATAGCTGTTTTCAGAATCTGTTAATCATTTTTAAGTATTTATTATTATTTATTTGTTTATTTTTAATGAATTTTTTATACTTAATACCTGTATTATTATTTTCAAGTTGGTCGGCATCATTCGACTCTTGACTTCTGGACCAATATTTTCAGTATCTGTTAATCATTTTCAAATATTTATAATTATTTATTTCATCAACTGAATATAATTATTATAGGTACGTACTCATATTTTTGATTATGTGTTCCAAATGCTCTTCTGATTCAAGTTCATGTACTTTGTCTCGAGGAAAAGAAGACGAAAACAGACCCATTTTGGCTTTTGTGAAAAACATAGCTTCATACGGACTTTGCTTTATACCTTCGAGGTATGCTGTATTTTTTGTAAATTGAACAAAATATATACCATCCACCCATTTATTCGTATTATTTTCGTACATACATGCTCTTAATAGGTTTTGAATATCTTGATTCGCCCTCTCTAATGAATTTTGTGTTTGGCTATGGCGTGGTTTGCCATGCACTATTTTGACAAAATCCCACATTAAACACAATTCTGTGATTATTATTTTATGATAGTCATTACGTTGTTTATTAGATTTATCTTTTGGGATTTTGAATTTTCACTTCACTAATTAAAAATTTATATTTTTCAGCTGACAGAAAAAATAATTATCATTTCTTTTTTTAGATATTAAATAATTAAATTTATTATAAAAAAATTCACTCATGTTTTCCATTTAAAAAAAAAATCGCTTGAGTAAAATGTTGTTTAAAATAAAAAGATATAACTAGGTACGTTGAATGACAATACATCACTAAATTATAGCAAGACAGTATAATTATAACATGGAGGTTATCCAGATATAATAAGAGTTGTTGGGTAAGGCAATAAAACACTTTATCGAAATTATCAACTTGTACAATACTTTATACTGCATAGGTACTAGGTAGTATGTAACAAACATTTTATCAAAAATCAAAATTATCAATTTGTACAATACCTTATACAGCATACATACTAGATAGTATAAACTATAAG